GCAGAATAAGCGGAGCGTCTTGAATAATCGCTCTGAAATCTAGCTCCCTGCCGTTATTTCTCCGCTAACCTTTGTCTCCCCAACTTCACCATCCGCGTGTCATATCTACTTTTGTTGTCCAAAACGCTCTAGCCAACACCATTAACCAAACCCCCAGCTTCTTCTCTTTGTTCAGGAGTAAGCTGGCGAGAGAATTCCTCTCCAGCCGTCAATTCCAACCCAGCCCCGCAGTCCTTCTCAGCGTCATCAATCCGTTCGCCATTCAAAACTCTTTTCCTTGAATACATGCCATGTTCAAAAACCACATTAACACCTGTATTACTACAACTTTCACCATGATCCAAAACTCGAAGTCCATGTTCAGACAGTCGATCAGAAAACCCAGAACTCGCCATTTGTTTCAGTATCCATAGCTATTTGTCCAATTGCCGGTCCTGAGTCATTCATGTTGAAATCCATTCCCGTTAATTAAAAAACGCACGAAAAATCTACCCCTTGGCAGATAAACTGCTCAGGGGAGGAAAAGAGCAAAAACAAAAACAAAAAAAAACAAAAACAAAAGAAGCACTACAAGAGTAACAGACTACTACAATAAACAATGAAAAGATAAACGAAACAAACACTGTGGGAGCCTCTCTCCCACCTCTGCAGCCACAATCTCACACCTGTGACGTCACAATCGGGCCCGTTCAGCGTGGTGTGGCCGTTGGCGAAAGCTGCCCTCTCAATCGGTCGCCTCATGGTTGTCATCCGCTTTCTACTGCTATTGTGACGCCGGAGCGATTTTATATTATTTCAAAGTACATTTTTTTTTTGTCATGTATATTATTTGGAAAGAAAAACAATATCTTTTATCAAAGAGAGAAACATGCATTATGTTCGGGCTCTCAAGTATATCATTTTCGATTGATGGTGTTACAGCGCGCTGCTTGACACTCCTTCGCGTGATGCCCCTTTTCCAAGCACTCACGGCAGACAAACTGCTGGCAAACTCGAATCACATGAACCGGGCTCATGCACAAACGGCAGATCTTCACCTGCCTGTCATGCATGACCCGAAAATACAGTGGTCCATCTCCCCTATCAAAACGCACGCTGTGTGGCTACGAAGCAATCTCTTGCGGGAATTTGACGCTGAGAAACTGGGTGCCATCCGCCACTGCGGTGCCCAGGTAAAAAAGCCTGCGGAGAGGTAGAATCGGAGTCACACTCCACCTTTCCAACTTGTCCAAAATCACAGAGTCCTCTATGTATTTCGGCAGGTTCAAAAAGGAGAGCATAACCTCCGTAGCACACGGTCTGCGCACCTCACAAACATGACCCTTCACTTGCACTCCTTCTCCAAAGTTAACTCAAATGTATTGCTGGGCCGGCTTCTTACCCCGATCAGTTTCCCTCTGCCCAGCTTGGCATCAACCATCGTTATCACGTCCATTGCAGTTATCCCCTGTAAATCATTCAATTGCAGAATAAGCGGAGCGTCTTCGGAAAAATCTCTGAAATCTAGCTCCCTGCCGTTATTTCTCCGCTAACCTTTGTCTCCCCAACTTCAGCATCCGCATGTCATATCTACTTTTGTTGTCCAAAACGCTCGAGCCAACACCATTAACCAAACCCCCAGCTTCTTCTCTTTGTTCAGCAGTAAGCTGGCGAGAGAATTCCTCTCCAGCCGTCAATTCCAACCCAGCCCCGCAGTCCTTCTCAGCGTCATCAATCCGTTCGCCATTCAAAAATCTTTTCCTTGAATACATGCCATGTTCAAAAACCACATTAACACCTGTATTACTACAACTTTCACCATGATCCAAAACTCGAAGTCCATGTTCAGACTATCGATCAGAAAACCCAGAACTCGCCGTTTGTTTCACATCCGTATCCATAGCTATTTGTCCAATTGCCGGTACTGAGTCATTCATGTAGAAATCCATTCCCGTTAATTATAAAACGCACGAAAAATCTACCCCTTGGCAGATAAACTGCTCAGGGGAGGGAAGAAAGAAAAAAAAAAAAAAAAAAAAAAAAACAAAAGAAGCACTGCAAAAGTAACAGGCTTGTACAATAAACAACGAAAAGATAAACGAAACAAACACTGTGGGAGCCTCTCTCCCACCTCTGCAGCCACAATCTCACACCTGTGACGTCACAATCGGGCCCGTTCAGCGTGGTGTGGCCGTGGCGAAAGCTGCCCTCTCAATCGGTCGCCTCATGGTTGTCATCCGCTTTCTACTGCTATTGTGACGCTTTTGTGCGTGTTTTTTTTTTTTTTTTTCCGTCCGACAATGCGGAGCCCAGGCTCACGTTTGGAGTTTGGGTTTTCTGCTGAAGCTTGGCATGGGCCGACCGCTCTTGGTGGGGGCTTAACCCTTGTATTGTCCTCTAATTTGCTAACATCTTTTATCCTTGGGGTCAGTTTGACCCAAGCTATTTCAACCTCCAGGCAATGATTGTAATTAAAATTGCCACCCATTCTTATGTGTCAGGTACCTTACGTTTCTTAGTTTACCAGCTAAATAGCCCTTTAAATTCAATATTACCACCACCACCCCCAAACCCCGGCAAACACCCAAAATACCTACTGTTGGAGAAATATGCAAATCACCATAAAATCTCTCCGTTTGACCTTAAATTGGAAAGAAAGACCTTTCTTTCTTGTTTT